TTGAGGCACATGAAGGCGGTAGAGAGCTGGCCACGTGGCTCTAAGGTGGTCATGGTAATAGTAGCTGACTGTGACTGACCAAGTCCCTGCTCTGCACATTAACTCCTTTAACCCACACGAGGCCATACGGGCTCAGCGTGCCCATTGCACAGGTGATGTCCAAGGTCAGCACCTGCTCAGTGGCAAAACTGGCATCAAACCCAGGCTGTCTGGCTCCACTGTCCAAGGTCTTACTGGTCTATTCCATGGCTCCCTGGGGAAAAAGCCCTTTCAAATGGGTGGAACAGTACATACAAAGGCCCAGAGGCTAGGGCGTGGTTGGTAAGTTTGAGGAATACCTGGAAAGCTAGTGTGGCTGGAGCAGACTGAGTGGGTGTGGGGAGAGGTGAGAATGGAAGAGGGGAGGGTGAGAAGCTGAGGGCTGTGGTATGAATTGGGGCTCAATGTGCTCCCTTGTCCTATTCCTTCTGCCCCTAAGACAGAGGGAGGATGATATAACCAATGGAGGGCAGATCTGTGCAGTAGGACAGGATCTAGGGGCTCCTGTGGGGTGGGATGAGTGAAAGGGGAACTCCTGGGAGGGTCAGGGCTGGGCGAGCCCAGGGGCTCGGGTGGGAGGGAAAAGCCGGCCAGAGGAACCTGGATGGTCAGCTGTACCTGGGCACCTCCCTGGGAATCAGAAAACCAGGACTACCCAGCACCTCGTCCAGGAAGCCTTGTCTGACTTTGCCCCCAACAATCACCGGGGCTTACTGTGCCCCAGCCCTCCCACTCCCCTGGGGCCCCTCACAGGGCATGTCACAGAGCTGATGTCAGTGATTGTCTGTGGAAGACAGCTGGAGGCACCGCAGGCCAGGGGAACGGCAGGGGTCTGAACTCCGTTGGTGAGTGCCGCCCCTGGCCGATGTCATGGCTCTGGGCCCCATCTGGCCGCACAGTGGATCGCCCAGGCCTGGAGGTGGCCAGTGGCCTTCCTTGGGACAGCTTCTGAACAGGAGGCCCTGGTGACATTCTGGTGCCAGTGAGATAACAGTGCCCTCCTATGCCCTGGGTCTCACAGAGCAAGGCTGGTCACCTGCAGCCCGGTGGCTCTGCCCAGAGTCATCCCTCACCCAAGGTCCCTGATGAAGGCCAGGGTGGGCAGAGCTGGGGGTCACGGGGTGGAGGGCCCCATCCCGCCCCCCTCACCGGGCCTGAGCCTGCTCCCTGGAATCGGCCCCTGATGCCAGCCTCTGTTCTTCCTCTTAATGAGGAAAGCTCTGCTCTCCTCCCTGCCATCCCCCCTCCTTCCAAAATGGATTTACCGTTCCGCTGCACCAAGCTCCCCTGCTCCTCCTCCTCTCGCCTCTCACAGGCCTCCGAGGGAAGTGGAGGGTGTTAGTGTATATTTTAGCCGATTGTTCCCCAACGCCCCAGTCTCTTTGGGGTGGGGCTGGGGGGATGGGGGAGTAAGTAAATTATATATTGAACTCCTAACTGGAGCTGAGGCCTTGTGGTTTCCATGGCAACTGGGCTGGAAATAGCTCGGCGTGACATCAGCACGGTACAGGTATAGCCGGATCCAGCCGTTCCCCAAACAAGCTGGCAAGGGGAGCAAGGGATGTTTAGCTAATTAGCATATGCAAATCAGGCCTGGCAAACGGGGCGGGGCCTGGGATGCCCCAGCAGGGCCTGTGGCCACGGCCAGGGCCCCTGGCAGGTAAGCAGGCTGGGGGTGGAGGTGTCAAGGCCCAGGCCTCCCCTGGCACATGCCCCCTGTGCTGGCCCCCAATGTGGGGCCCAGGCTCCCTGGGTCTGCCTGCCCTATAGGGCTCTGGGAGTGTAGCCAACGGGGCTGCCAGGGGATGGGCTGGCGCGCGTGGTGCAGAGCCGGGATGGGATCTGGCTCCTCTTGGCTCACAAGTGTCTTGGAAGCCAGCTACCTAATTGGGCCCTGCTAGCTGGCTGCCATATTTTTCTCCAGGTCTGTGAGGGAGGAGTGGCCCTGTGCCACCTTGGCTCCCCTCCCCCACCTCCAAGCCGTGGGAAAGGCCCACAGACACCGCCCAGCTGCTCCACTGCTGCGTCTAACACCCTGCTTCGACCCAGATCCGACAGGGAGAAAAGAGCAGAGCCCTTCATTTGTGGCTTGACACCACCCACTCATCACTTGGTCTCTCTGAGCCTCAGTTTCCACCTCAGTGAAATGGGGGTATTTTCCCCCTGCCCACCTACCTTGCAGGAGACTGAGGGGCGAATGAGGTGACAGGCCCTGGGGAAGGACCTGAGGAGCTTGATAGGCCAGACATATTTGGAGGAGGAGCAGAGTTTCTGTCGCTTCTGTTTAAATCTAAGCTCTGCCACCCAGCACTCTGCCCCCCCACACACACACACACAGACTGGTGAGATTCAAAAACTTGCAGTAAATATCTGGGCGAGGTGAAATGTTGCCACCTTCATTGTGGTGATTTCCACACGAGGGCTCTTGGCTGAACTGCCAGCATTCGAGCTGGGCGTGCTCTGTGGCTAAATGAGATAATTTATTCATTTCAGCAAATGTTGAGGGTGTGCCGAGAGAGAGAGCGGGTGGGGAAGGTAGGGGTGAGTCAGACAGGGCCAAGCGCGAGGAGGCAGACAGCTTGGCCACTGGGGGTGCTTGGGAAGATTGTTGAGGGTGTGGGACCTTCGAGCCATGCCTCAAGGCCCAGCCAGAGACCTTGGCAGTGAAGAGGGTAGGGAAAGGCATCCCAGAGAGAGAAGCGGGTGGGCACAGAGGCTCAGAGATGGGAAAGGACACACAGCGTTTGGGGGAAGGGCGATATTTGGCTGTGACTGGAGTAAAGCGATGGAGATGATACCAGAAAGTCCCACAGGTGCCAGTCCACGACGGGCTGGAAGCCAAAGAGTTTGGACGTGGTTCAGGAGACAGTGGGAGCCATTGATGGCTTTTGAGCAGGGGACTGATGTGATCCAACCTTGGTTTCAGAAAGGAAGGGTGGGCTGGAGATGGGCCAGTGTGAGGCAGCTCAAATAGAGGTGGAGGTCGTCATGGAGGCGTTAACGACAGGAATACTTCACCAGTTCCAGTCCCTCTGGGGAGCCCCTGTAGCCATGAGTCACCCTTTCCACGGGCAAAGGATCAGGGAAGATGCTCTGTCTTTGGGCCATCTGTCAAACGGGCAATTAGAGTACTAGGTTGCGGGGTCTGTATTAACACAGAAGTGTGAGCGTTTGTTCTCCTGGGCCCCAGGATCACCTCCTGGGCCCAGCTATTGCCCCCAAATATTCTGGAAGGAGGGGACGGCAGAGATGGGTGTAGGGTGCTGATTTCTGGCTGGGCTGAGGTTTCACGGGCGTGTCTGGCCTTGGCACTGGTGTGGCTTTGCGTACTTGGAGGGAGGGGTTCTGCCTGGCTGCCCCTGAGGCTCCTGGCAGCCAAGAGGGTCTCTGTCCTCTCCCCTCCCCTTCCCTCTCCACAAACCTCATTTCCTCTCAGCTCACAGTTTCGGAGCCACTGTTTGCTCCAGGGTTGGACAGGCCCCTGGGCGCCCGCGATGGCCAGGTGTGGCCCTGCCCTCAAGGGGCTCACCAGTGGAGCTGGAGGTATACAGATGAGCAGTGACCCCACCCAAGGGATCAGTGTTGGGTGGGGTCAGCACCAAGTGCTGTGGGAGCCCAGAGGAAGCCCACATCCAGTCCTGGGGTCAAGGGGGGCTTCCTGGAGGAGGGGACATTTAGGCTAAGTCTTGAGGGAAGAGTTGGACATTCAGACAGGAAGAGACGGCATTCCAGGCAGAGGGCACAGCAGCAGCAAAGGCACCGAGCGGGGAGCAGGGCATGGTTTGCCTGGGCCAGGCACAGCTGGGAGCCTCTGACCCCCTCACCCTGTCAGTGCTGGGATGCTCAGAGTATTAGGCTCCTCTTATCATCCTGGCACTGCCAGGTTAATGTGGGTCAGTCTGTATTCACTGAGTGCCTACAGTATGTCCAGCTGGCAAAGGGCCCTGGGGTGGGTGAAGTGAAGACCCCATGAGTCCAGAGGACTGAGCTGAGCTGAACTGCCCCCCGCCTTCTGGATATCACATCTTCACAGGGTCAGTGTGTGCAAGCATGCATGCTCGGGCCACCTCCTCGCCACCAGCCTGACCCCAAAAGCCTGCATGGCACTTTGCAGCCTCTGTCCTATTTGTATTCAGTGACCGTTCTGGCAGGCAAATGTGATCTGGTCACTCGCCTGGGACTCAGGATAAAGTCCGAGCCCCTTCATGTGACCTCTTGTCTTCGTATCTTTGATCACGTAGTTCCCTCTGCCTGGGCACCCTTCCTCTCTCCCTTGCCTGGCTACCACTGGCGCATCTGAGGATGCCACCTCTGGGAAGTCCTCCCTGACCTGCCCTATCCCAGGCCAGTGGGTGTCTCTTATGTGCCTGGCCCTAGGCGCCCTCATTCATGGCACTGCCCATACCTTCCTGTAACTACCAGCCCCTGGTCCTGCCTTCCCCACCAGCCTATAGAGTGACCCTCGGTGGAGGGAGTCTTACTCAGTTTGTACCCTGTGGCCATCTCCGACGCTTGTCCAGTGGTGAAGTCAGTGAATGTTGGTTGCGTGATCAAGGGAATGAGTGGATGTTATTCCTCCTGCCTCTGTCCTACCCACTCTCCCTGCCTGGGATGCCATGCCCTTCCTCTTACCCTTAGTGCTGGGCCTGGAGGCCTCTGCTGCAGGATGCCTGCCTTTCAGACTCCTTCCTCTCTGAGCCTGTGTTTCCCTCAGTCCACCTTTCCTGAGGATTCAGAGGCGTCCACCAGGGTGGGAATCCATCCCTCTGGACCCCCAGCTGGGTGCAAGAATCTTGAGGCCCCAGCTGGCCTCTCCCACTTTCCAGTGCCTCAGGCCCCCAGTTAGGTGGTCGGTGACCGCTGATGGCCTGAACCTTTCCAGAACCTTCTCTCTTGGGCAGGACTGGGTCCTGTGGGAATCTCTGCAGGTGCCCCCCCCCCCGGTCTTTCCAGACCACTCCTTGATTCTAGCTGTTTCTGAAAAAACAATGGAAAGAGCTTTGCATCATCAAATACGATTTCCTGTCATTTTAAAAAAGCAGGTATAGTCAATTTGAAATTTAAAAAAATTGCTGTGGTGTGAGCATGTTTGGGTCGAGGGCCTGAGAGGGGAGGTTCTGGTCCAGGTTGGGCCTTGACGGGGGAGCTTGTTCACCATTTCCCACCATTCACTCACTCCCTCCTTTACTGGGTAGGTGCGTGGATGGGTGGGCTCTGGGTGGCCAGTGCCCGTGCCTTCTGCCCTCCTTGTCCATTTGGCGAATCCTTTCTCTATATGCTGGTCCGGCGTCCTCTGAAGCTTTCTAGAATTGTCATTATTTGCTCATTCATTTAACATTCTCTGGGTGCTTGCGCCGTACCAGGCTCTGCACTGGGCTTGGAGATACAGGCGGGAGCCTCCGCTCTCGCCTGAGGGAAGGCCAGGCTTCCTACTGTCCCCACAGCCCCTGGCATGGGCCCCGCGGGCTCTCCTCACCAGGGAATTGCAGGCTCCCCACCCCTGGGAAGCAGCTGGGCCAGGTAAGGGCCGCCCACCTGGCTGGCTGCCTGCCTGACCGCCAGCCCCAGGAGGCATCGCTGCCTGAGATTCGAGCTCCTCCGAGGGCCTGCGATGGGGCTGTGGGGAAATCATTTTCTGACAACGGCTATCAATTTTGCTGAGAGCCCATCGGCGCTCCAGCAGCCTGTCCGTCGGCGGCAGCAGCTGGTCTGTGTCAAGCCCCTCCGTGTCCTGATGACAGAAATGATTCGCATTAGGCGGCTGCCCCAGAGCACATGTCCAGCAGAGATGGGCTCCGGCCAATTCCAGATATGCCCCGCATCACCTCTAAGTCTATCTGTCAGCCCTGGGGTTAGTGGAGATGTCTCCTCCTCATATTGTGGTCATGTGGGGCCCTTGGTGGGGGTAGCCCCAGCATTAGCCTGGGAACTCTCTCAAATGGGGATCCCTGCTGCTCCCTATCTGCCTTGTTGCTGGTGCTGTTCTAGAGGCACAGGATGTGGCACAGAACACGACAGAGCCCCTGAGAGGGTGACATTTTAGCTGAGAGGTAAAGGACGGGAAGGAGACTGCTATGCATAGGTCTTAGGGAACAGCACTGCAGGCAGAGGGAACAGCCTGTGTGAAGGTCCTGACGTGGGACTAAGAATTCTGTTTAGGCTGCAATGAATTCCGGGTGCCCAGGAGTTATCCAGGGTTAGAGCCAGGTTTCTGACAGCCCTAGAGGTGTCCAGAGGAAGCAAGATGCATCCTGGGTGATCGAAGAAATCCCTGGAGGAGGAGATGGTGGCTGTAAGCCATGAAGGGGAGCAGGATTTTGCCTGGTGGAGTTAGATATGAGGGGGGGGTTTCCAGGAGGTAGGAGCAGCATGAATGAGGCCTAGAGGGGTGAGAAGGAGACAGTGCACCGGGCAGAGCTCTGTGTGCAGCTGCGGGGTCCTCCCTGACGTGGGGAGAGGACCCCGTTTTGGGCCAGTGATTCCAGGTCACCTCGGGCTCTCAGGGCCTTTGATAACCTCACCTGGTTGGCCACGTACCATGGGGGTCAGCAGCATCAGGGTTGAAGCCCTACTGTGCGCCGGGGAGTCCGCCCATATCCCAGCAGCTGCTTCCACTCATCACAGGCCTACTAAGTGCCAGACACTGAAGTGCTCTGGACATAAGTCACATGACACTACCCAGAGGTGGGCATTACCACCTACACTTCCAGGTGGGGAAGCTGAGAGACTGGTCCAGGGGCCGTGTGTTGCTGGTGTGAGCCAAGCAGGGAAGTTTGTGAGACTCTGGTTGTCCTGGGAATGAGAACAATGGGGAACAACCCCCAACACCCAAGCCAGCGGCCAGGAACCCAGCGGTCATCCTGTGGGCACCTGAGGTGGGTGTTGAGCATGTGGGACCTGGGCATGGGAAGTTAGGGGCCAGGGGCTGTGTGCCCCACACCCTCACCTGCTGCCCAAGCACTGGAGAGGGGAAGGGAAGGAGACACTCTCCGACTTTTGCCACTTCCTGGCTTTTCACGGCAGGGATGACCATTTACATCTTTCAGACAAGGAGCCAGAGGCTCAGAACAGCAAGGACGGGAGGTGACCAGGGCCTCACAGCAATGGGGTGGCAGGGCCAGGACAGCCATGGGCATGTCTTTCCTTACAGGACATCACACACTGGGGAATGGGCTGTACAGACAGCGATGGCCGTGAACATGTCAGACCCTTATTAGTAAGGCTAAGTCCAGCCAGGGAACCCAGCTCTTCCGCTCTGCCCATTAGGTTCCCATTCCCAGCTGAATCTGGTGGGCCCATGGCTGCATGTGCTGTCCTGGTGCCAGGCAGGCAGGCTCCTGACGGGGGAACATAGCCTGTGGTCGAGTCCTTGGTGCTCTAACCCCAGTCACTCCTTCCTTCCTCCCTCCCTTCCTCCCTCCCTTCCTTCCTTCCTTCCTTCCTTCCTTCCTTCCTTCCTCCCTCCCTCCCTCCCTCCCTTCCTTCCTTCCTTCCTTCCTTCCTGACGGGCACCTCCCACACGTCAGGAAGTCTCCATTTTCTCTATGTCCCCTGTGCCTGATATAATGCCAGCCATTTAGTACATACCCTATAAATGCTGCCCATCTCTGCAAGGTGATTTCCTAAGAAGGACCTTCCCCAGCCTTCAGTGTCTTCCTCCCTTGCTTCTTGCCTATTGGCAGAAATTTTATCATTAGTGATTCATTCCTTAGGCATAACTATTGCCCTGTCCAAGTTCCTCTTCTAAAATGCAAACCCCTAGAGTCTCAGCAACCTCCCCTCACCCCCAAGCAGGAGACCCTTGTGAGTCCCCGTTTCTGAGTGACTCCTGTGCCTAGGAGGCTAAGGCTGTTGAGTGTACAAGACTCTGGCTCAGGGGTTTGTGAGAGGAACTGGGAAAAGAGGCAGAGTCAGGAGGACAAGTGGCAGGTTCTGTGCGCCTGCAGGGTACCTGGGGTTCAGCCCTGTGCTGAGGGTGTTTTTATCCCCGTTTTGCACGGGAGTGGACAGACCCCCAGCAGGTTCCCCAGCTGAGAGGGGCCAGGCCCGGGGCTGCGCTCTCTGTGACTCCTACCCAGGCCCTTCGCTTGCATCTCACTCCTGCCCAAGACGTGGTTGTGTCACTGGCAGGGCTCTAAGGACGGCCCCTTGGCTCACAGCTGAAGGAGGCCTGATCCTCGGAGCACTTTGTACTTGAAAGGCAGTCAGTCCAGAATCTGGTTTGAGACTTGCAACCACCCTCTGAGGCAAAAATGCCCCCATTTCTCTGATGAGGAAACTGAGGCACAGAGAGGCCAAGGGCCTCACCCATGGCCCTCCGGTGAGAGTGTGTTAGAGCTAGGACACCCCTTCTTATGACACACTACCCAGTGCCCCCCCACACCCCCTGCATGGGGGGTGAGGGTCTCGGGCCTAGTCTTGGTGCCAGGAGATGTTGCATTCAGGCAGCTCCCCTCTGCCTCCTTGACCATGTGTCCAGTTGCTGGGACCCTCGCTTGGAGCGTTTTTCAGATGGGAGAGCTGGTGGCAGGTCCCGGTGCAGACAGGGTATGACCCCCCTACACTCCCCGCCCCCCTTCCCACGCTCACATATCCAGCTTCCCGAGGAGAGCCCTCTGCGGACAGTGCTCTGGCCAGCTGTGCGGCTCCTAATTGGCCCACACTCTAGGCCGTATTTTCTCTGGTACTGATGAGCCAGTGTCACCCAGATGCAGCCAGAAGCTGAGCTAAACTCAAGATGTGGTCGACTCTCCCGCTCATCAATCAACCGGTAGCCACGCTGCTGGGGAGGAGGGCAGGCGGGCAGCTGGGCAGGCCGGGCTGTGTGGGCTGGGCTGTGTGGGGGTCCTGGCCTTTCCGGGGTCTCGGTGTGGTCTTAAACCATCCCTCCCTGTCCAGGAACTTGCAAGGTGACCAGGACCTGGCAACCTTCCATTCTCAGCCTCCTGGCCTGGCTGTCCATCGCCTGGGGGCCAACCCAAACTGCTCACCTGGGCCCAGGGGCCCTGCCCCGGCCCTCCCCTTTGCCACACTGGTCCCCCCAGTATCACACCCCAGCCACACAGGCCGCCACTCCCGCCCACCTCAGGGCTATGCCGGTTCTCTTCACCCTGCGGGAATGTTCGCTTCCTGCTCTGTCCCCTTTTCTCTCTGCTAAGGCCCTGTTGTTAAGGTCTGGCTGAAACAGGACTTCCTCAGAGCTCCGCCCTCCCATCGCGCCCCCCCCCCCCCATACACACACAGCTGGATTCCTGTTATTGTCGATGGTCTCAGGGCACCACTTTCCTCTCCTGCTGAAACCTCCAGACAGCTGGAATCAATGAATTATTTATGAGGTTCTCTGTTATTTTCTGTCTGCCCCCCTGGAACATTGGCTTTGAGGCCCCAGGACCACATTTATCTTGTTTCCCACTGTATCCCCAGTACCTGGTACCTAGTAGGCCCTCAGCAAATGTTTGATGAATGACTGTTGTTGCCCTAATTAAAAAATCTGTTTCCCACTGCCACTAAGATGAAATCCAAATTCCTCAGTGTGGCATTTGAGGCCTGCAAGGTCCAACTGAAACAATTCCCTCTGCCTGGAGTCTCCTATGCGTCCTTCAAAACCTCAATAGGTACCACCTTTTTTTTTTATGGCTGCCCCAGGCAGAGTTGGTTGTTCTGTCCTCTGAGGCAGCAGCTGTTAGGCACCAGGCCCTGTGCAGAGCGCTGGTGAGATGGGGCTGGGAGTGTGGAGTTAGCTCTGTAGACAACAACCTCAGGGCATCGTGATGGTGATGATGGTGACAAAAGTCAGGCACTATTCCAAGCAGTTTTCTTATCTCATTGTCACCACCACACTGTGAGGTGCTGGTATTACCCCATTTTATAGATGAAGACAGCAAGGCTCAGAGAGGTGGCCTAACTTGCAGCTAGTTCATGAAAAGCTGAACTTGAACTCAAAGCTGCGGTCCTTGTCACTTGCTATTCCGCTTCATTGAGGGGCCTGTGAAGGGCTCTAAGAATACAGAGGAGCCCCCCTTCCCCTGTCTGTGGTGGGGTCACAGAGACAGTTTTACAGAAAAAAAAATGAGCTGAGACTGGAAGAATGCACATTTTTCCAGACAAAGAGGGAACCAGGAGGGCATTGCTGGCATTGGGAACTGGGGCAGGGGGAGGGTAGGGTGTGCAGGACGGGTAGAGGGGTGGGGAGGCTCAGAAGCCGGGGGGCTGCCTGGTGGGAAGAAGGGGGGTGGTAAGGGAGGAGGCTGGGGAGGTGGGCCAGGAGGCCCAGGACATGGGTGCCTGCTGGGGGCCTGGGTGATGGAGTGAGGCTCCTGGCATTGGCCACTATGGGCTCTGGTTTCTGGCAGCTTCCAGGCTCCGTAGTCCCTGCTTGTCCAGTCTCCACCCTGTTCCCTCCAGGCTGACAGAGCAGGTGGGGGCCCTGCTCTATGCATCATTTGCTGTCTATGCATCTTCAGGGGAGAATGTGAGAATGAGTCTAGTGACTGTCGCATGGGGTTCTCTGGGTCCCTCTGTTACCTGTCTTCTCGTTTACAGAATGGACATGTGCCACTTGCCCCTCCCAATCCAACCTTGGGCCACCTCTGTGAGGCTCACAGTCCATGCTTCTCACATGGCTCCCGCTGGGCCAGTGGCCTGGGCCAGCCAGCCCCTCCGGTGTGTTCTGTCAGCCCTCCACACCAGGCTGCAGGCACCGGTGCCCACAGTGGGCAGTCCCAGCCCACTTCATCCCCACCTCTGCCCAGTAGGGCAGGTGTTACCGCCCAATTTTCACAGGGGTAGAGGCTCAGAGAGGTTAAGTAACAGCATGTGATGCCCTAGCCAGCGAGGTGGAGCCAGGATTTGGACCTAATTCTGGCTGACTCCACAGCCCTGCCCAGGGGACTACCCCTCCCCCTGGCATTGTCTCTGCTCACCAAAATCCAACCATCCTTCAAGAGCCTGCTTGGAAGGACTACACTCAGCTCTGGCACGTGGCAGAGGCTGAGTGTTCATCCTCCCTCCCTTCCTTTCTTCTTTCCCAGATACTTTGGGCCCGCCCTCCACCTCAAGCACCCTTCTGGGTACTGGGCACCTTACATAGAGGTTGAAGCCCAGGCTCTGGGGTTGGATTTCATGGCTTCACCCTTACCAGCTTTGGACCTCTGATAAATTACTTCTCTGAACCTCAGTTTCTTCATCTGTAAAATGGGGGTGACATTAGTGCCGGCCCCCTGGATTATGGTTAGGATTGAGCCCCTGTGTGTAAAGTGCTGAGAACAATACATGGCACATAGTAGGTCCTCTGTCCATGTCACATGTTACTGTCTCCAATTCCAGTTTTCATGGGCCCCCTCCTCCAGGAAGCACTCCCAAATCCTCCAGGCTGGTGAGCGTCTCCCTCCTCTGAGCTCCAGCTCCCTTGCTTCATGTCCCAGTGGTGAAGTCTTAGGGTCAGGTGGGTCCCCTGCCTGATTGTAGGCACCTTGAGGGCTAGGGCTGCCCCCCCATAGGCCCCCCCCCATCTACCATACCAGGGCCCTGCACATAATAGACACTTAATACATGTTTATGGAATTGAATTAACGATAAAACGAGATAATGGCCTGGAAGGAGCCTGAGTTGTTAGGAAGGAATACACAGCGTAAAAACCAGGCATATTTTTTTAAGCAGATTAATCTGGTCTTAACTCATTCTAATAGCCTGCGCCCCTATTGGCCAAGGCCATTATAATAATATATGGCCAGGGCCTTGGAGCTGGGAGATAGCGGTGCTTCAAAGTTTGCCTTCCGAAGGATACCAACAGCAGGCTGCCTCCTGGCTTTCCAAGCTGGAGCCCAGGGAGGCTGAGGGACTTGCCTGGGGTCACACCACTGGGGAGAGTACAAGGAGAATGAGGCTCAGAGAGGGCATGGGGTTTACCACAGGACACACAAATAAAGGAGGATGGGCTGGCCCAGGAGGCCTGGTCTTCCACTGGGCTGGCTGCATTCCATTGTGTTGGATGCTCTGTGCAAGGGCCAGGCCAGGCATCCAGATTCTTACCCCAGGGGGCTCTTCACTCAGCACTTCTCCCCTGTGAATCACCATCCCCACAGTTGGGAAGTCAGGTGTAGTGCCTCAGAATGCATAAACCCTAGAGGAGGAGGTCAAGCTGGTGTCAGTCATTCACACCTTAGTCTGAATTCACATTCTGGTGAGGGCTGACATCTGAGGGAGCTGGACACCTGTGAGCTATTGGAAAGGGAGGAATGGTCTGGCTCCTGTCAGATTAGGTGGGGCGGTGGAACCCAGAGCAGTGGCTCCGAAGTCACCCTTCCTTCCCAGCTGTTCACTGGCCTAGCCCTTAGTACAGATGGCAGGCTGGGAGTCGAGGAACTTGGTTTGATTACTAAAGGAGAGGCTTGAGGTGGTGACCAGGCCAGGCTCTGCCCCCCCTCCCCCCCCCCAGTTCAGAAGGGAGGACGGCAGTGACTTGACAACTTCGTGCCACTGGTCAGACTGGTCAGATGCAAGTCTCAGCTACTGCAGTGAGTGTCTTATGCGACTGTCCTTCCTCAGCTCATCTCAGGGGCAGTCCTCTGTTGTTGAAAGAGCCCCACTATCGCCACCAAATGGCTCGGGTTGGCACCCAGCCCCAACGCTCTCATCATCAGCCGCACACAAGTTTTGCTCTCCGAGCCTCCGTATTTCCTGGTCTGTGAAATGGCTCCACAACCCCATCCCCGTGGTGCTGAAGACTCATGAGATGAAGGCACCCAGCGCAGCTCCAGGTGTGGCTGAAGCCCCATCAGCCCATTTCCCTAACCCCCCCCCCTGAAGAACCCAGCACCTGAGGTGGGGAGATGGGGAGCGGGTGTGTGTGTGGGTCTCATGCTTTTTATTCTATGGGGTTTCTCAGGTCACAAGAGGCCCACTGACAGCTTATTGATAAACGGTAATGGAGGGGTAAGGGAGCTGGAGGTTTCCCCAGTTCTGAGGTGCCTGGGAGGGGTGCCTAAGTCCCCCTCATTTCTTCCCACCTGTCTCCTAGCAGGCAGACAAGGCCCTCAGCTGCTGGCCCAGGCTGGCAGGGCGGCTGCTGCTGTAATCAGCCATCGCGCCACTTTCCTTGGAAGGAGAAATTGCAGGTGGCAACTCGTAATTTCCCAGGCTTCTCCCTTTCATTAATTTCTCCCTGCAAAATGGAGGCTTTCTGCTGAGCTGGGGAATTGGCAGCCGTGCGCGGCATCTCGGGCCAGCCGAGCCCTGGCTCCAGGTGGGGGGTGGCTGTGGGGGCCCCCGGCAGCCACTGTGCTCACACTGTGTGCTGTGCCCCCTCGCCGAGGCCAGACGTTTATTCCGTGTTCAAATTGGCTTGCCGAGCCCCACTAGGTCTGGAAAATTGCTTGATTCGCCTTCTGCTTTCTGCTCTGTCCCTAATGGAGAGGGCAGTGGGGGTGGGGAACCTGCCAGGGTCAACCTTCAGTGATCAGTGAAGGGACAGAGGTCTCTGAGCCCCCAGGGGCGCCCGTGCCTCTGCGTCTGATTCCCAATGGAATGAGCATGGCTCTGCCAGTGAGGTGAGTATCTTTCCTGAGAGGATCTTCCTGCCTTTCAGTTGAGTGCCTCTGAGGGCCCTGCCCTACGAGGGGATGGACAGGTGGGGGTGGATGAGGGGCAGACATCCTCTGGGCCTCGGGGAGCTCCCAGCCATGGAGAGGTAGGAGGCACACCAATGATGACACCAGGCCCAGGGTCACTGTCAGGCCGAGTGGTATGGACACCAGAGGATGGGCAGCCCCGGGGCGGCTGGGGTCTGGAGGAATGGATGGGGGTGATGGGACAGAGATACCCTGATGCTGGAACAGTGTGCCAAGGAACAGGCACTTCATCCATCCATCCACCCCACAGATGTCAGTTAGGCAGCTGCTGGGGAAATAAGGACGTGGACTTCAGGGGTGAGCCAGGTGTCCACCCAGGCAAGGAGTCTGGTCTCCCCCGGGAGTCGGGAGAGACTTGGTCAGATGTGCAGTTAAAGAGGCCGATGGGACAGCCACTGCGGATAATGGGAGGGGGACATGGGAAAACCAGGAAAATGCTGGGGTTTGAGAGGGTGGGATGTCCCCAGGTTTCTAGCCCCAAATAGATGACAGTGCCATTTATTGAGAAGGGGTCAGGGAGATACAGGAGGAGGCACACTTTTGGGGGGGGGGAGGCCCTCATCGAGAGGAAGGAGTCAGTCACTACCTAGTATGAATTAGGGAATGGGACCAGCTCATGAACTAATTCTCACCTGCAACGGGATGGTCCAGGAGACAGCGCTGGAGGAGCCAGGCTGAGCCCTGGTTGTTTCAGTGCTCGTGGGACTGCATTGGTTGGGGGGGGGGTGCCCAGAGGGTGCGCAGTTCAGCCCCTGCTCTCCTTCCCTGCTGGGTGCCCAGAGCTCCCCGTGGCTGCTCGTCTTCTGTAGGTCTCTGAGCCTCTCTGAACGTATTTCCTGCTTTGGGAAGAGCACAAGCCATGGAGACAAACAGACCCCATTGCATGGGGCCACTGGTGGAACCTAGGGTCAGGTAAGCTGGGGACTCCATGGAACCCGATCCTTAGCCTGGAAGAGGGTCCAGTGCCCACCCCCACAGTATAGGATGTGGCTGTTAACTTCCTGGGGAGAGACTGACACCTGGTTCACATCCCACCAAGACCACCCTGAAGTGGGGGCGTTCCCCCGACGGAAGTCACGTGGTTCAGTGTGGCGGCGTGGACACTATAGCAAAGCCCACCACTGCTCACCACGCTGGGCAAGTCCCCTAACTCCTTTGCCTCGGTTTCCAATGACATGGTTTTGCCCATGTCACAGCGTTGTTGTAAGTCCAAGTGTCTACCTGGCATGCCGCGGGCCCGCAGCTGTGATGTGCCAATTACAATAGATACAAATTGTCTCATTGCTACCACCTGCCTCCCAGGGCCGGCAGTTGGGCCAGGGAAGATCTCAGAGGGGTGTCATGGACATAAAGTGCAACAGGCTTTGTGAGCCAAGGGGACAGTGAGTTGGGAGCACTCTACAGGGAGTAGAGGGGTTGTGGGGCAGGTGGGCACCCCAAGCCCAGGGCTCACCCCTCCTGCCAGGCTCCTGACCCAGCCACCTCAGCCCCCACCTGGAAGCCAGTTCCCACCGCACCTGCCTGGCTTCCCCCGCTTCCCACCCACGTGTTGGGCTTTACCTGCCTCTCCCCCCCTTCTGTGTGCGCTTACGGAATTTCTGGGCAGGCATCTAGCCCAGCTTTGATCTTTTGGGAGGGAGGCATGGGCAGCTGAGGCCGGCCAGAGCTGGCTGTATATTTTCTCCTGTAATGGGGTATTAAGTAGACAACCCAGATGGGGATCTCGGGCCGGAGGGGGTGGGGTGCAGCCTGCTTTGTATCAGCCTGAAATATGGCCCCATCTCTGCCAAACCTCAAAGGACGCTACCTTGGGGCTGGCTGGGACCCAGCTTTGATGTTCTCGCAGCCCTGGGACTGGGCAGATCTTCCCTGGCACTGACGGTCTTGGCCCCAGCCAGACTGGAATGTGGTCTGCCAGGCCCCTCCTCACTTTCCTCTCCTTTCCCTCTCCTCCCTCACCCCTTTCCCTTCTCTCTTTCCTCCTCCTCCCCCTCTCCCCCTCATCCAATTCCCTCTCCCCTTTCTTTCCCCCTCAACTCCCCTCCTCTTCCTCCTCCTCCTCCCTTTGGCCTGAGCCTCTTCCAAGCTGTGCATACCTCTCATCCGCAGGCCAGCGAGTTCCGCTTTCTCCCTCTCCAGGAAGCTTATCGTGGGGAGAGGTGGTTAAAGGTGTGCACTGAGACCAGACAGCCTGGGGTCGAATCCCAGTTCTTGGGCTTGTCAGGCAAGTTACTTAAAAAATTCTCTGTGCGTCCAGGTCCACATCTGGAAAATGGGGAGAAGGTAGTAGCTGCCTCAAGGGTTGTTTGAAGGTTAGATGAGTACATCCTGCGAGGTGCTTGGATTTCTGCTGTGCACCGAGCAAATGCTCTGTTTGCTAGCGTTGGCTGTTTCTGGGACCGAGGGCGAGGGGCCGGACCTCTGGACCTCCCTGAGCCTCAGTTTCCTCGTCTACAATAGTGCGAATAACACCGACGCCCTCAGGTCCGTATTGCAGAACTTGGCACATGGCGGTTTCTAGGAATAATTCACCCCAGTGTTTACTAAACCCCTACTGTGTGCAGGGCTCCAGGCTGGGGTTGGTTGAGCCAAATGAGGCCCCTGTGCTGGAGGAGCTCCCAGTAAAGAAGTCATTCCAGAAAGACAGGGCGGGAGGGCGCTGTGTGCTCCTTGGTTTGAGTCTGATGGGAGGTATCCTGGATGAGCCTGGCTGGGGCAGGGCGACAGGCAATGCCGGTTTCCTTCCTTTTTCCTTTCCTCCTTCCTGTCCCGCCCCCCACATGAGACATCAGGAATCCCACTCAGCAGAGGACTGCGCCTGGCTCTGCCTCTCACTGGCTGGTGACCTTGGTAAAGATCCTCTCCTGGCCTTGGTTTCTGCATCTGTAAAACGGGGGTGGTTAGTGGCTGGTAGGTGGGGTGGGAGCTCTTTGAGGATAGTGATGGGTTTTCTGAGCCCCACCTCCCCACATACCTGTCCCAGGGCTGGGCACCCGATGGAGAATGGAAGTGCCAGCAATGAAGACAGGCGCCTGGGTGGTTTTCCCTTCAGCCGTCTGACCCAGCCTGGGAAAGAAGGCCACCCACTCTCTGAACCCTTTCCCCAGAGACCTTTGGCTTTGTCTCAGAGTAGCCCCTCCACTGGGGCACCCTTCCCAAAAACCCTGACTGTGGTCTCCCCCAGCCTAGCCTCACTCCTCACTGTTCTGGCCTCAGTTTCCTCACTTGGAGAATGGGGCCCATAACACTTTATAGTGTTGTTATTAGTGGCATTAAGGCTCCTGCTCAGTGAAGGGTACCTCCCAACTACCCCAGGCATGGCCCCTTTCCCCGGCTGCCCCTCTGATGCCAGCTCCGGGGCCAGCGGTCAGCACCAAGCTAGGTCCATTGCAGGCTGCTCTCTTGAGTTCCCCAGCAGCCCTTCTCCCAGGGCGCTTCCTCAGGGGGTGGGGGCTCAGGCTGAGGGACTTGCCTGAGGTCATCCAGCAGTAGTTGGGAGCCCTGGGCCCAGACTTTGGGCCTGTCCACCTCAGTCTTGCTCATGTAGCTGACTAGCTAGTGGTCTCTGCACACTGGGAAGTTCTTCCTTGGCTGGAACTGAGGTCTGTCTGAGGGAACAGCTGCTCATGTGCTGGGGCTCTGCAGATAGAAAGGAAGTGCCTCCCCCACGACAGCCCCGGGGAGAGCCGAGGCGTGCAGCCAGGTCCCCCACCCCACAAGCGTCGGTTCTTCTGTTCCCTCCGTCACTCCCCCCGTTGCCCTTGGGATAAAGTCAAGAAGCTCCGTCACTTTCCACATGGCTCCTGCCCACACCTCGGCCTGCTGAACCACTTTTACTACTTAACTCCCACCCCCTCACCCCTTCCTCTCATCTCTGGGCACAGTCCTGTTCCTCTGCTGCCCTCCACGGCTCCTGCCCTCACCTTGCAGGTGGGTTTCTACCTGGAGGGACCAGCTCAGCTCAGGCCGAGTCCCCTGCCCTGTCCAGTTCAGGCCCCATCATAGTCTCTCACCCTGTGGTGGCTTTCGTGTTCACATTTGCTCCCACTGGAGGGCAGGCACCTCATCTGCCTGGGGCCTGGTGTAGAGTAAGCACTCAGCAAATACTTGTCATGTGAGCAAATGGAGCAAAGGACATCCAGAGCAGCATTTCCAGCCCTGCTCCTGAGACCCCCACAGCGAAGATCAGAGCCCACCTCTCTCCTGGTCAGACACCTCTAGGGGCTCCCCAGAGCCCTCCAGATAGGCGACTGAGCTCCTAAGTCTGGGTTTGGGGCTCCACACATCCACCTCCCACCTAGCCTCTCCTCAATCCATCAGTGGTCATTCACCCCTCCCCCGAATTGAACATAGATGCTGGGTGCTCTGCCCAGAATTCTATATCCCCTGCCCTGGGACCTTCCTTTGGGGAGACCCCCATAGAGGCAGCTGCTCCCTCTTGGAAGCCTTACCTCTGCCCGCTGTGCTGACCTTCCTTGTGGGTGGGGCTCCTGGTAGTAGCTGGCAGCAGAATGAATGGTTGAGCGAATGACTAACTGCTGAGGCTGGGCCCCAGGGAGTAGAGGACTTGGAGGATGGGTCAGATTGTCATGAAGAAGTGGGCAGGGAGAGCACACTGAGCCCAGGCGGAGAGGCGGGCCTGGGTTAGTTCAGGAAGAGGAGGGGCCGAGTGGTGGGCGCCCTGGCCTGGGCTGGACCTGGTAGGGCTCTGAAACCCTCCCCTGCCACTACCCCTCCCCCCATCAGTCACAGTCCTGTCTGCCCCTTGGGCTCTGGGACCCTCCGGCTGGCCTGTCTGCCTGACCCCCGAGGTTCCTGCCCGGGAGTCCTGACATCCCCAAGTTCTAATCCTCTCCCTTGGGTGCCCACTGTGTGACCTTGAACAAATGCCTTCTTCTCTGGGCCTCTGTTTCCCCACCTGTGATACAAGTAGGTTGGAGCCCATCAGACCAAGGTCCTGGACCCAAATCAGGACACGCTCTATTTGGTCCATGCGTGTGTGTTTGTTTTTCCTTTCACTTGAGCCAATATTAAAAAGAGGAAGCTTTCACATAAAAATCCAGATTTCTGGCTTCTCTTGATAAGGGGCTGTCCCTGCCACAAGGGGCTAGCTAGCTGCTGGGAGTAGCTGGGTGGTCCCCACTCTTGGCCACCTGCCATACGGCTGACCTGAGGCCCCTTCTGCCCTGACGCTCTCCTTGAGGGGAAAGGTTTCCAAACCTGCCTTGAAATAAAGCTCTCCGACTGCACCCCCCACCCCCCAATATTCCAGGCAATCTGCCTCGATTTAAAATTCCTTCAGCAGCCCCAGGCCCAGCGGCTTTTCCCAGCGAAGGAACGAGGCCGCGGCACGTGACTGTGCTCTGCGGCTGGGAAGGCTTTGATGTTGCGCAGGTTTCAGAGCGCCCCTCCCCCCTCCCCTCCTCCTCCATTCTCTACCCCCTCCCCTCCCCTTCCCTTCATTCTCGCCTTTCCTCCCCCTACCCCTTTCATTTTTCCCTCCTACCCCTTTCTCTCTTCTCCCATCCTCCCCCTCCTCTTCCCCCTCTCCTCCCCCTTCCCCTCCATTTCCTCCTCTTCTGCTGTTCTCTGTTCCTCCTCCTCCTCCAGGTATTTGCTGATTGCCCTGTACTCCTGATATTACATACCTGGCCTGGTGACAGACCTGGCCAAGTCACCCCAGGAGGTTGAAGTTTGGGGTTGGGGGCTGCTGTGGGGGAAGAGGAGCAGACGGTTGGATAGTTGCTGGCTGAAGAGAACGGGAAGAGTTGTTACTGGTGACGAGTGGGGGTTGTGTCCACTGTGGATAAAGTCTTACTGTGTTCCCGTGTTCCCCGGGTGACCTGCCACTGCCAGCATGTTTTATTCATGAGGCCTTAAGGCCAAGGCTGCCTAGTTCAAGGCTGCTGCCTTTTTGTCCTGGGGGTAAACTGAGGCCTGGGGCATTGGAGGCCCACTGGCAGAAGGGGGGTAGGAGTGGAGAGAGTGGATTGGGAGGGAGAGATATGCGGGAAATTAGGAATGTAGGAGTGGGCAGCGCAGAGAGCACGGGGTGCGGGTTGCAAGGCTGGTATGTGAGAGGCAAATGTGCACCTGAGGGGAAGAGAGGCTGGGGAAGGACCCCTCAGGCCCCGTCCCCAGCAGGATCTCCTCCCTTTTGCCTGCCCCCCGTTAGGGAAGGGAGTTGATCCTGCTGAGTAAATATTCCCTCAGATCAGCGGTTCTCAACCTTCCTAATGCCGCGACCCCTTAATACAGTTCCTCATGTTGTGGTGACCCCCAACCATAAAATTATTTTCGTTGTACTCTATAACTGTAATTTTGCTACTGTTATGAATCATGATGTAAATATCTTTTTGTTTTCCGACGGTCTTAGGCAACCCCTGTGAAAGGGGCGTTCGACCCCCAAAGGGGTCGCGACCCACAGGTTGAGAACCGCTGCCTTAGATCTTGAGTTGGTGGACCTAGGGACCCTTGCCCTTTGCCCACCACCCCCTCCTGTCTCTCCCAAGCCTTCAAAAGTCTGAACCTCTTCCAGCCTCCGTCCCCCCCGACCCCCAGAGGGCAGGCCCTGGGTGTGGAAGCCCTTGGTGTCTGAGATGCACTGCTCAGTGCACTGGTCCCCCCATCCTGAGGCTGAGAATACACCAGCGGGGGCCTCCTCAGTGCCTTCCACAGGGTTGGAGTCCAGGGCCTTGGGCTGGTTGGCTCTGGACTGGTCTGAGGAGGGTGCTCTGTGCAGTGGGGGAGGGGCATCCGCTGGCCAGCCCCCGGGCTCTGGCCTGTCTCTGCTCTACTTTCTGTGGTTAAATTTGTCCTCCTGGCAGGCATGTCCATGAAAGGCAAGTGGGGAGATAGAAGCAATTAGGGCAAAACTGTAATTATGCCAGTCAGCCAACCAGTAGGCCCACTGTGTGCCCAGCCCCTTCACAGAGGCAGTGAGGGTGTCATCTGTCCTCCATCACTGCACAGGTGAGGAGCCCAGGCTCAGAGAGCCACACAGCAGGGCTAGAGCTCAGACCCTCCTCTGCCAGCCCTCACCCAGGCCAGGGCGCCTTTTGCTGCCTGGGTGTCTGGGCAGGAGGGCACAGGGCGGACGTCAGAGATGCCAGTGGAGCTTTGGCCATTTCTTACTAGCCTTTCCTTCCATTGTGGAGTCAGCAGGAGTGCCCGCTCCTGGCATCTGCCCAGATTTCCTCCTCAAAGCCTCAGTGCCACTCGGGAAATGGGGACGATGGCAATACCTTCTCTCCCACAGGCTTGTTTTAAATGGCATGAGAATAGAAACGGTAAAAAAAAAAAAAAAAGTCCCCAAAACTCCAGCACTTTGTACAAAGGTGAGCAGCTGGGCTGAGTGGTCGCCCTTGCACCCCAGTGCCCCATCCCTGAGCCTGGCATACATTCACCAGTGCCTGTTCTGTGCCTTTTCTGTGAGACCGTGAACCAGGAACAGTGGCCCCTGCCTCATGGTCCCAGCTGGAGTGGGGACAGAGACCCTGAGTCTTTCCCTGGACCCAGAGGCAAGAGAGATCCGCATGAGATGACTCTGCACACGTTTGTCTGAACTCCTTGGCCTGTGCATGACGCTGGCCTTTCCCCGAGTACCTTGTGTAGGGGTGGGGAGAGGCGATTACCCATGGGCAGCTGCAGGGTCTGCACTTCAAGGCCCTGCATCATGGGCTTTCATGGTTGGCCCTGAGAATGGCCCCTCCTCAGTGCCTGCCCGCTCTGGCTCAGCTGTGCCCATGCGAGGGTGCCCAGGAGACTGGGGTGGGGGGGGGTGGCAAGGAAAGCTGGCAGAGGCTCCGAGGAGATGGGCCTCCTCCTGGGGCCATTCCTGCACTTTGATGAATATGACCAACCCCGAGCAGTATG